CTCAGATATGAGGCAGCACAAAAAGGAGAACCCCTTCGACGCTCTGCACGCCTCCGCCCCTAGCTCGGAGGTCCTCGCTACGGGGAGGGTAGGTCTGCAATGACTTGCTGGTTCTGCTGGTCTGCAGCCTCTCTCGTGTCGAGGCTATACCATAGCTGGGATAGATTCGTAATTTTGTTTGGCTGAGGGCTAACCGAGAGACTTACCTGTAGGGGAAATTCGTGGGGGACATATCTGCAAATTTGGGAAAATACAGGCCTGGTACTAACTGAATTTCCTACCCTAACTGCTAATAGCAGGCCCAGGCTACCCCTAGGACAGACAGGCCCTAAGGGCCTAAGCTGATAGACGGTCGTATAGCCTATAGCCGGGTTGGGAGAGGCCCTAGAGGCCGAAACAGAAACGGTATCGGTCAGTCAGTCCGGTCTAGTTCGAGTCTAGGCTAGAGTAGACTATAGATAGGATGGGCACATTGGTTCAGGGCTTTTGGCAGTTGGTACCATGTACATCACTGCTGTGCAACGCGTGAACTGGAAGTGGTGACGACTCAGCGTTGGTGGAGACAGACATAGCCAGACCTGCGGAGCGCCGGCCATAGCTGGGACCGTGTGTCAGCACGCGGGGCTGTACAGAGGTCTGGGCTATTCGAGGTCTGCTGGAGGCGAGAGAAGTTGGTGCCCTGCTGGACCCTCCTCCGGAGTAGGGTTACAGGGTAGCGGCGCTGCAGCCATAGCTGCAGCTTCTTCCTCAGAGATCATCTTGTCAGGAGAGGTGGCGTTGCTGCAGACTTCCACCCGGGAAGTCATCCGGCTCTTCATCATCATCAGACACTGTGGCGCTGGTCTTCTTCTTCATCTTCTGAGAGGCGATTCGCCTCAGGGACCTGTTTCAGGGTGGCGCTTCCCTCTGGAGGCAGTATCTGGGTGGGGCTTGATGTTTCAGGGACTCAGGGGTAGTTTGGGCGGGTTACTCAGGGTTGGGGAGGGAAGCGCTGCTCATTTCTGAGCAGCGCACCATAGTTCTGGGGTTATTCTGACAATTCGAGACTCTGAGTTTCATAAACAGTGTTGATACTGGGTTTGGACTATCATTGCTTCATTGTTTCTTCGGTGTGATCTACTCGGCTTTCCTTTATGACTGGTTGTGAGGATTGAGTGGAGTGAATTGCGCTTTCAGTGTACCCTGTCATATCGCATGGTCAAGTCTTCCGCTGTGTTTATCTCTCCCTGTGCGGTGTGATACTCCTATCCTCTCCCCTTCCTTCTGTGTATGTATGGGCATACTTGGAAGTCTATGTGAGTGAGTGTTGGTCTTCAGACAACAAACAACCAGAATCATAACACCCATATCCCCCTATACACCCCCAACTCCCCCCAACCCCCCCCCAACGCCCCCATACCCCCCCGCCTTCCCCAAAAGTTTCTCAGCGGATTTGGGCTTTACTCAGCAAGCGCAGTACAGCTTCCAACTCAGATCTGGGAAAAAATCAGTGGATGGCTGTTTTCTGACTGGTCGGCAGACCGCCAACCGGTCGGCCCTACTGGTCCTCTGCAAAACGGTAGGCAGGTATGCAACCATGCTCTTGTAACTTTGTTTCTTGTTGGCACACGTCCTCTGTGAGTGGTAAATGACGAACTTTGACTTCTGTAACCGTCAATGTTAAACTTTTCTGCACCTTTCCATCTTGCTGTTTCCCGTTGGCACATGTGACGAGTGCAATGTTGAATGACGAACTTTTACCTTTTGCAATGGTAAATGACAAACTTTTCTCTGCTATTTTTTTACCCTCCCATCTCATTATTCACTGCTCAGCACAAGGAACCGGTGCAATAGGATTTTTTTTTTTTTTCCTTCTCCAGTTTGTAGTAGTTTCCTTGAACGACCAGTACACAGCCCCAGCCTTACAAGATTTCTTCATGGCCTACTCCTAAAATTTCGGAGGCTCGGGACTACTGGACCACAATGGCTGGCAGCACCAGCCGAAAAAGAAAAGAAGTGCACCGCTGGCGGTTTGGCAAAGCTTGCCGTGCAGCCAGGTCTGGGTGTACTGGTGCTTCAACCCTCCTCTGCCCCCGCAAGCTATAGCTTGTTCCCCCTCCCTTTCGTTTCCGGGGAATGCTTTCCCTGAGCATCCAATAGTCTTTTGTCATAAAATGTGCAATGCTCTCTAGAAATCAGACCCATATCATCTCTGATGCCAAATGAAACAGATAAAGGAAACCGCATTTGTGAAGAAAGAGTGACGTGAAGAGGAATTTCGTGAGGGTGAAGTGAAACTGGGCTATGGAATTGCTAAGCCAATCAGATCAGCCATGTCCCATTCCATCCAAGCATTCTTATTAATTTCTTACCTGTAGAGCAATTTTAGCCAAGAACAAGTTCTGCTGCTTCATGCCAAGCAAATATCTTGTGCTGCCTTAAGTCCGAGATGAAACGACAAGCATTTTATAGAAAATGAACAGGTTGGGTCCCAACGCATTATAAATGTGTGAGGACTACCGTCGTCACCCGAATAGAACACCTGGTTATTATCACCGCATCTGGACAAAGTTGCCCCAAATACGGCTATCATGCCCGGGCGTTCCATTCGGATAAAGACGGTAGCAGTCTAGCATGACTCGGCATTTGAGTGCTGAAGTGTGTTGCGTAGCTGCAGCAATGCAGTGGAGGATAGGGTTACTTTGCAATGACCTTGCAGTGCATGCCACATGTCAGGACTAGTCTGGGTCCAGGCGGGATGAGGCAGCATGTGGCCATATAATGCCGAGCCTTCGAGGACTGCATTCTGGTATTTCAGTGGCCAAAGGCAAAAAACTTCCGCCTGTTTCCTACATCCTGGCGGTGGTGGATAGGGCCCTCTAGGTCAAGGCATTATGCATCCCTACACCATTTTTCACACTTATTTGGGGGTCCATCTCATTTTTGCCCAGTTTATTGGCTTATTATCTACTTGCTTATTATTAAACCACTACCGTTTTGCTGCTATTTGTGCCAACGCGGCCGTTAATGCGCCATAGCCTCTGGGCCTACTGAACGAATAGGCTGGAGGCGCCAGGAAAAAGATTCAATTTCTGCTCCCCACCAGTTTGGCAAAACTTGGCACGCGGTAAAAAGACTAAAAACCGACATCAGCAAACAGAGGCTTGGACGAACTGGTGATTTAAGTTATTAATTTGGAGATCTTTACTGTGGAAGCTCAGCTCGCCAGGGTGGTTATGTGGGCTTGAGTGTTTTTCGCCCTGTGGTGTGCTCAGATGGGGTTCTGCCTGGAAGTGAAGCAGGGATTCAACTGCGAGGCAGACAAGGTCGCCGATGCAGGACCTCCACCTGATTGCCTCTCTGATACAGCTCTGGATGAATGACGGCATCGGCACATTCCTTTAGCTCCCTCACTTTTGGATCTTCCTTCCAGTTTGGGTGCATCTTCCATCTTTTTTTTTTTTTTTTTTTTTTTTTTTTTTGAAAAGACAGGCTCCGTCTATTGGTGGGGAGCAACACCTGCTGGAAACCGGGTCCAGCGTCCCCTGAATACATCATGATATTTAGTTGTACAGACTGGGAACCGGGCCGAGTGTCCCTTTGAATGAAAAAAAGAAATTCCTGAGAGAAGTCTAAAGCCGATCAGCTCATGAGACCAATTAGGCATCTATTGAAGTAAAGATTGCAGAACAATTTATTTTTTGGAACCGAGACTTCTTGTAGTTTTTCAACTTGAAGACAATTAGGGATCTCATCAGCCTATGGGTACCAAGACTCCCCGCCTGTCACCCCGAACAGACTGTCCCCTTGCCGACTACCTGCCTCCGCCGAAGGTCAACCCCCCAATCAACCCCAGCCCCAGAGTAGCGCAACCCGCAATTACTGCCCTTACCCCCTCAGATGCAGCACTTCCCTCCAATATGCTGCCACCGCCGGATAAGGCTCTCTCCTCTCCCAATGATACCAGTAGTTCCAAACCAACCATCCACTCAAGAGCCTGTTCTTCATAACCTTTGGAGTCACCCACTACCCCTCCCACGAAATCCCAATACCTCTGCCTCCATCTGCCCCCGCCGGGCCGGATCTTTGCCCCAAAAGATCAGTCCCAGGCCCAGAAGAAAGCAAACCCACGTGTCCGCCGCCTCTCCCCCAAGAAACCACATCTCCCTCCTTATGCAGTCCTCGCAGAGAGGGGCTCCCTCCATCCTGAAGAGAATGCTCCAAATACAGCCCTATAGCCCAGACTCTTGTCGCACAGTCGATAAAGAATTGCCCGTATTATTGAAACGAAAAAAGGGCAGAGCCGATAAAATCCTCACCTGTTTAGATCATTTTTGAAAAAACTGAGAGAAAACTGAAGCCATCTTCATCGTAAGTCTTGAATTCCTCCAAACTGTTCTCAAAACCGTCCCTGCCGGCTCTCTGATAACAAACAGGTAGTCCCCGAAGGGCATGGGAGTGTTACCTAAGGTAATTGGGCATCTCCCTTCCCATACTGCCCGCACTGTGGCATTGCATAGCAGACGGAAGAAGCACCAGCGAGAGGGGTGGAGTGAATTTTGGTCAGGCAGGCCTAATAACAGCCTTGATGGGTTACTCTCAACAGCAGAGTCTGCGATGCATACCTTGTAGAGTATTTCAATAATGTGTGTTCAATTCTTGCCCTGCATCTTCCAGGCCTCGTAACAGCCTTGATGGGTTCTTCTCAAAATCAGAGTCTGTGATGTGTAGAGTGTTTTAATAATGTGTTTTCAATTCTTGCCCTGCAGCTTCCAGGTGAGGGATGAATTGGACAATGTGAACATGCCCCTGCCATCCTGTTCGATTTTGGATATATCTGCTGCTATGCAAGCAGTGTGAGCACTGCGCAGACACTTATTACATATTTGTAATTGAGAATTAGAGAAGCCTAATCTTTGCTGGTTCAGTGGCTGCAAAATATGACCAAGCTGTTTGCTGCTGGCAGTTTTATGCTGCACACCACCGTTTTGACACCACCTGGACTCTTACTTGTCACGCAGGGTCAAGGGCAGTCTGTTCTCGATGAGAGGATATGGGTTGGTTTGCGATGGCTTCTGGGTATGATTGAGAGGGACTTCGTGGACCTTGATTTGAGGGCAAAGCAGGAAGGATCTCATGTGGTACGTGTGGTTACGTTTCACATGATTTCAGCTTATCTTTCCTTTCTTTGGTACATACAGCTCTGTACAACATAACGATTGACAGTGCAAGTTGAAATTCATGGAAATTCTGATCTTGCATCTATGCTCTGTCTGTCATAGCTCCATTTATTTTGCAGGTACGAGTGATGTGTCTATGGACATAAACCATGTGAAACCAATCCTGTTTCGGCTGGACCACGCTCCCTCCCCTCTTCCATCCCATCCCACTGGTTGCATACTAACTGTCTAGTCCCACTGCTCCCTTCTGCACCCACCCTTGTTCCATTTGGCACCCACCACCCTCCCGTTCCCTCTCCACCTGCTGTGACTTCTCACCGAACAACCTCAGCACCACACCCTCCATCCCTGCTGCTAATCACATACAAGCCCACCCTCCTCAGAGCACTCCTCCATCCCCCATCCTCTGCGTCAATCTCTGCTGTCGACACCCCCATGCAACTGTCCCTGTAATCCGCTTCCACCCGCTTGAAATCGCTGTTTCCCACTCCTAATACTGAGGCCACTTACCCATCCCCTTTCACTCCCAAGTTGCATGTTTGTTGCACCACCTGCCCATCCGTCCTCTCGCCCACCACAGTTCGTTGTGCTTGCCTGCATCTTTCTTCCCTCCACCGCTGTCGCTATTTGACATCTGCTTTCTCCTCCATACCCGTGGGTTCTGAATCCCTCCCCTTCACCTTGACACGTGGAAGTCTCCTGTCAGCCTTGGGCACTGTTGTTTGTAGATAGTCCAATGGAGGTGTCCCCACAGCCCACAGCCTCCCCCCCCCCTCAACAGCAGGGAAGCATACGCAAGAGCAGAATTGTCAGTAGAAGGGTCAGCCAAAAAGATAGGACCCAGTCGGAAGGCAATTCCAGGAGAGGACCATACTCGCAAATAAATATGCAAGTAATGTACACCCTTGCAGCATTATGCTGTTCCTTGTGCAGGGCTCATGCTAATCTTCTCTTTATCATTCCTCCTTTTTTTTTCAATAACAGAAAGAAATGGTCCATTTCTTTCTTTCTTTTTATTTTTTTACACACACACAGAGCCCCTTCTGCTCTGAGGGCCGCCAGCCCGGTTGCATATCACCGGCAAGCATACGAACAAGAGTCATTATAGGTCACAACAGAAGTGAGAAAGAAACGGGCATAGAAAGCAGGCGTAAGGACAGCGGGTGGAAGCAGTAGGCAATCGAGAGACTCCGCTTGGTACTCAGTCATTGCCCACTAAGTCCACTCCCGCCCTGGCCTATTGCCTTCGCTGCCACCCACTCCCCCCCTTCCCAATACTCAGCGTCCCCCTACACACCCTCCTGTCCACGCACTGCCTATATATTCTTAAGCTTAACCTACTTTCACTTATGTATACACAACCTGCTATCCACAGTAATATATCCCATATATAACCTACTTTCACCTATGTATACACAACTCGCTATCCACAGTAATACATCTCATATTACACTCCATAATGCATTCCATGCTACCTTTTTATCCTTATCAAGTTATCATGTTATCCATGTCATAACCTATTCCCTTTCATAGCCTATTGCAACATCTCGTACCATTTTGCCTACAATAGTCATGGCCCCGGCACCTTGCCACCCATTCATATTGTGTCCATCCCTAATCCCTTCCCCGCCGTACTGTCAGTCATCGGTGTGAGTGCGCGGTAATGATAGCAACGCCAGCTCCGCGCCCGCACGAGAGTGCAGCGCTGGAAGTCCTGAGGAAGAAGGAGACAGTTGATCCAGCACTTTGAAGAAGATGAAGTTCCTCATGAGGAGGAACAGCAAATATGGCTGCCAAGTGGAAATGGAAGCGTCCAAACCCAACAACACAGTCCTGTGGAAGCTCTCATGCAGAGCTGTGAAATAGCAGCAGCGCAGTCTTCAATTTCATTTCCCAACCCCAGCTATGGCTGGGCTTTGAGGAAGAAGATGACCTCGCCCAAAATAGCGCAGCGGCACTCCAGCAACGGACGGGCAGAGTTTCCCCAGTCAAAACGACATGCAAAAGACCCGAAACTAATTTCCTGCCCGCTACTTCTACTCCCCGACTAGACCTATGAGAGCAACCTACGACTCCCCTGTACCTACCCAGGAAACGGGACAAGGGGACCCAGAGCCCAGATTACGCAACACTCACAAACAAAACACACTCAAGTTACAGGTCACGGGATCAAGTCCCGCAAGGCTCAAAACAAGCAAACAGCAGGCAAACAGGCAACACAGCAGACAAAGGTTGCAGGATCAAGTCCCGACATCGACAAAATGGACAAAATTAGTATACAGCCCGCTTGTAGCACTGCAATTCATTGCATTCATACCCTCCCGGGGAGCGAGGATCCCGAGCTAGGAGTGTCCACAAGGAGACCGCCTGGGCAATTTTGAATTTCCCACATTGCTCAGCCTCGTAGAACCGCACGACTGAATTTGCAGACTTGAGAAGTTCCTTTCTTGTAAACCAACGGTCCTCAGTATGAGGTTGGAAAAGGAACTTGACAAGATACTCACAGCTGGGGCCTGTGCCCCACTGATCTTCAATGCTTTCAACTTCATATCCCTTTCCAGGGATAGGAGGCCCGAACTGTTGTGGCCAATGAGGGAATGCGTCAGCAGGACTGAAAGGCAACAGTTTTGAAGCATGGAAAACAGGATGGGTCCGGATGGGTGGGGGTACAGCGAGGACATAAGAGGGTCCAAACGGATCTGCCCATACACTATCAAAAACCTGCCATGGACCGTAATAGACAGGCAACAACTTTTGTGAGATGTCCTGTTCATCTGTGAGTTCTGAACGTTTTACCCAAACCCAGTGCCCAGGACGGATAGTGTTACGGACTCAGCCAGGGCTCGATCCCTGGTCCGCGGGTCACCACCCACCAGGCTGCTATTTTTTTTTTTTTTTAAGTTTCTGATCTCCGGTTCCTGACTGTTGGCGCCCTCTGCAGTTGGCGCCCGTTCTCAAATTTCTCCCTTGACACTTTCGGATTTCGATACTTGGCGCCATCCCGCATTCTGGCACCCAGACTCAGACCTTCGATTCTCAGTTCAGCCCTGAGTCAAATTGCACTTCTGCCCTCAGGACTGAACTTGAGTCCGGTACTTAAGACCGGACTCAAGCTGCGTTCGGACATTCAGTTTTCGGCCTCAGTGCTTGTGCTTCAGTGTGACTTGCTGCGACATTGTGTTTGGAATCCAAGATTGCGACCTTGCGACTTTGTGACTTTGCCACCTTGTGTCTGCGTCCATTGAGTCGTGTTGAGTCTGCGTCGAGTTGAGTGAGCGTGTGTGTGTACTCTCACTCTCCCTCTATCTCCCAGCCTCGCTGCTCTGCCTCAGCCCCGTCATAGATACGAGAAGGCTGCCTGTGTTTGTTAGCTTGTTCAATCATTCTCTTTTGTGATTTGAGCATGTTAACTCTGGCCTTCTCTAAATCCTTCTCATAGCTCCTGACAAACTCGGTAGTGCCAGGGGTCAATTTGGGCTTAGCCTTATCGATAATACTATCGAGAGGCTGTCTGGGGTCCTAACCCCAATGCAATCTGTAGGGGGTGAAACCAGTTGTACGCGGCGCGACTGGGGGCGCCGCACCGCTCTGCTATCGACATGGGCCGGTTCGTGAGTCGGTGGCGCCTTGTCGGCACGGCTCCATGCGAGGAATATCGAGGAGTTGATGTGGGCAATGGGGATTACGGCGGCAGGCATGGCCATTGACGTGATGCGTCGGCTAAGGGTTCTTCCAGCCTTTATAACCTAGACTGAAGAGGTCTCTTGCTCCGTGCTTCCTTTAGGTGGTGTCGCAGGTTGACACGCTAAAGGAAGGGGAGGCTGTCGGGGTGATTAGGATAGTCTTCATGAGATCTTGGGCATGGTAGTGGCCCTGCTCCTATGCTCCTGCACGAATCTAGTGGAGGTTGGTTGGGCAGCGCGGGCAAAAAGTGAGGAGCATCTTCTCATGCGGAGTGGGAGGAAGGAGGCTTGTTACAAGCTGGAGCGTTGGAGAGAGCTAGCGATTTCAAGCGTTCGTTTGAGCTGGTTCATCGGTTAAAAACACAGAAGCAGGTAGCGGCGCAATAATGACAGCGGCGATGGAGCAGGAGAATTTCGTGCGAATATGTGTAGCGCTCTTCGCATCGGCTGCCTTTTCCAATTGATTTCGCTGATTTTAATTTTGCATCTTCTAATTTCTTATATTCTTGCTCTAATCTAGTGCTTATACAATTATAAACTCAGCTTCTCAATTTTGCAAAAATAAACTTACAATCTATCTTCTATTTTCTGATCATCCAAATTCTCATCTACATGTACACACATACACACATATCCTTGAATTCCGACTACAATTTCTAAAAGTCCTCAGTAAAGTATTCTCATCTACATGTACACACATACACACAAACATATATCATCCATTCTGAATCGCCAGCATAATTCGTAGGGATCTGTTCTATAACTATGTATCCTTGAATTTCGACTATAATTTCTAGAAGTCTCAAGTAAAGTTCTATCATGATTTTGTAATCTTGGAACCTGAAAACTTCGGAATCTCTCCGATAATTAGTTTATTGATTCTTTTAAATTGGTGATACGTGCACATGGTGGGAACTGCCAAAAGTTGATTGGCGCAAGGGGCAGGGGAATAATTGTAATAGTCTTACTGCTGCCCTGCACTTTCTTCAGTGGGTTGTTCTTAAAGATGTAGGGTGTTCTTGGGGGTTATTGCATATTTTTGAAGAGGCCCTGCTTTTCCAAATTGCGATCGGCATTTTGGTAAGTGTGTCATTAATAAATGTAGTCGGCTGGATCGGATCGTTCCCGGAGCGCTGAACGGTAAGAAGGGGGTGGGGGGAGCTCTATCTTGCAGGGGCATCACAAGGTGGGGGGTGAATGTTTCAAAGAGGGTAGGGGCGGAGTAGGGGGTTGCCCTATTCGGGGGCAGGGGCTGGTGTGTGGGTCAACATCAGTCCC